AGAGAGAGAGAGAGAGAGAGAGAGAGAGAGAGAGAGAGAGAGAGAGAGAGAATGTAAACATGCCACAGTGCACTCAAAATGTATTTGCTTTAAGGTGGATCCTGGGAATACAGGGAGAGTGGGACCAACAGAAGCTGCCCTGTTCTTAAAAAAGTCTGGACTCCCTGATATTACACTGGGAAAGGTAGGTAGCCAAAATACAGCAGTATAAATTACACTCTCGGATCTTTATTATTTTTATTGCAGGTGAGCTTGTCAGTGGACTGAAGGTCAGCCTCTGGTCTGAAGCTGTGTCATTCTGTGTCATTTGCTAATGTTGTTTACAACTCTCCAGAACAGTGAACTTTTCAGTGCTCGTGAGAAATGAGACTGTACAAATAATTTTCTCTGAATTATTAAAACATCAATGGGATGTGTGCCCGTTTTACACTATTTGCAAACCTTTGATGCATAGGACTTTTACTGTTTGAGACACTGAGCAACTTGGAATCATACGCAAGGTTTTAAAGGTGTATCAGTATTTTTTATTGGAAATAGCTGAAATTCTTGTGTGTTCTCTGTACTACAGAGCTTTTAGCTCATTGCTTTGGATTTACTACTTGCAAAAATTTAGATAAATCTACTGTACACTATCCACCCTGCAAATGACCGAAGTTAGCAACTAGCCATTGAACACAGTGGAGTACTGAGCAGTATACTTTAGATCAGTGTAGTGTTTCTCTTCATTCAGGTTAGGCGCTGCACTGCTCTTGTACAAGTCTTGCAATGGAAGGGAAAACCCCTTGATTTTTTATGTCCAGTCCCTGTCCTCAACGGAAGGCTTTTTTTTTAGTGTGGTCATTTTAGTGTGACACTTTGTACCAACCAGTTTATTTCAGTGACCAGGGAAAATGTTTTCCAGGATAGCTTTCTTGGCCTAAATGGCCATTGTTGCCATAATGTGTTTAAAGTCACAGTGAAGTAGAGGATAGAGTGTCCGTATACGTATATACTTTCTTGTGGCGTATTTTTTGCATGAAATGGAATATTTGGGCAAAAGATGTTACAGAGAAATTTTAGTTATATTCTTTAGATGTGATTGGATTGCTCAAAAGTGGCAAAGAAGCAAACGTGACGATGCAACACAGAGCTGTAGAGAGAAGACCAAACAACTGTTCACCTTCATGTACACCTCCCTCACTTCATCTTCCCTCTGTTAGATCAGTATTTAGATGTAACAAGTGATCATTTTAGAATGACTACACATATGCAACATTAGAACTTGAACATTTTGTTTTTCATTTCACTGTTTAGGTGTGTTTGTATCTTGTGTTTCAGATTTGGGATTTGGCAGATCCTGATGGCAAAGGCTATCTGGATAAACAGGTCAGGAAACGATAAGTGGTGGATGAATGATTATGTCATTGTATTCTGATTAACACGTACTTAATGATATATAAGGAAATAATTAAAAGGGCTTATCGTTTCCCCCCCCCCCCACATTTCTAAAGTAATAATTATGACAAGTGTTCTTTGTTAGCTATCTCAGGAAGAGTAAGAGAATAAGTTTATGTGTAAAACTGTGTGTTTTCTGAAGCTTAAGCACTTGTAAGTGATAGAAGAATGTAACTGTAGTATTAATAGGCTGGGGTATTTGTGACCATTGTTTATATGTTGTTGTTTATCTTTGTTATACCATCACTTTCATGGATTGTTTATATATATAATATATCAATATATATATATATATTGATGACGATCATATAATGGATGGATTTAAAATAAAAATATAATAAATAAAAAGTAAAAAAAAAAAAAAAAAAACTGTGTGTTTTCTCACTTAGGGGTTTTATATAGCTCTGCGACTGGTGGCCTGTGCTCAGAGCGGTCAGGAAGTCAGTTTGTCTAGCCTCAACCTTACAGTCCCTCCTCCGAAGTTTGTGAGTATGAAGTCATTATTAAACCTAAAATCCATTCATTCTTTGTATGCAAACAAGCTACATCTAGCTGCATTGTTTTTCTTATACTCATCATAAACAGTTTGTCAGTTTCATGTTAGGTTTTTGGTCTTAAATGTTTTATTAGTGGTCATCAAATGGATCACGTGACAGTGCTGTGGTAGCATTTTATGTCTGTTTTCAGAAGGACACCAGCAGTCCATCTCTGAGTTCCACAACTTCTGGCTCAGGCGAATCACACTGGGCTGTCAGGGTGTGTTCAAACACACACACACACAAAATATCACACACTGAGTAAAGCAGCCATTATTAAAGTAATTAAGTAAAAAGGAAAATCTTGTTTAAAGCAATAATTAGTCAAAGAGAGAGCCTTTAAAATGTTTTCACAGTCAAAATCATACTACATCAACACTTTTCAGCCTTGAAATATTGATTTGATTGATTTGCTTCAGCCTCAGAAGTCTGGTATTGTTTGGGCTCTATCATTGCAGTATAGTAAACCATTCAGTTTGGGAATATTTATATACTCTTCCATTGAGTCAAGAGACAGACTCAGTCAGTCTAACAGAAGTGTGCCTTTTTCTTTGTAGCCAGAGGAGAAGAATAAATTTGATGGGATTTTTGAAAGCTTGGCCCCTGTCAATGGCCTGCTGTCCGGAGAGAAAGTCAAACCAGTCCTCATTAACTCCAAGCTCCCTCTGGATGTCCTTGGGAAGGTATTTAATTTAATTCTGTTATTTTTATTTGACCCTATTAAGGACTTGTTGGTAAATGATTGAAGATTAAACTACTCAATTCAAAGCTTGAATATGTCTTTCTTTCACACATACATGAAGTAGCATGAATGTCAATGGTAAATAAATGTTTTTCAAAGATTAGATATGAAGTAATGGATTGTCAAAATGAAGTGGTTAGCACTGGTGCCTCATAACTAGAAGGTCCTGGGTTTGAATCTCAGGGTCGGCTGGGGCCTTTCTCTGTGGAGTTTGCATGTTCTCCCTGTGGGTTTTCTCTGCATGGATGGAATGAACTTTAGTTACGCCAAATGGTGTCAATGATCCTTTACATGTTTATTTTTTATGCTGTTAGGTTTGGGACCTGAGTGACATAGACAAAGATGGCCATCTGGACAAAGATGAGTTTGCTGTGGTGAGTGTTACCTTCTTCATTGTTGCTAAATGCACTAGAAATAACTGAAAGGGAGGTAAAGGCAAGTAATTGGATACTTGGCTGCTAAACTCATCTTCAAAATTCAGACAAAATAAGTCACATGCAAAATACTGCACAAAATAGAAGCTATTTAGCCCACATTATTTTGTTTTTAACTTTGGGCAAGCTATACACTGTGCAGGCACTAGGAAATGATAAACAAAATTACAAATAATACCTATTAAATACCAGGGGTCCGTTTCACAAAGCAGGTTCAACAAACTCTGAGTCTAATCCTGAACTCTGAGTTCATCTACTCTGAGATGGGAAACTCTGAGGTTCCGGTTCCAGAACAGCGGATTTGAGTTTGTTTAGTCAACTCGGAGTAGTTTCACCTGGAGCTAAGCTCGTGCACCACAACTATAAAAAGCGAGCATCAATGGAGCCCCAATTTGACAAGTCACCATGGCAACGGGGAAGCGGAGGGCTGCGTTTTTTCACCCCACTAGAACTGGAAATCGTAATGCACTCATACAGCAAGTTTGAAAACATTTTTTTAAAAAGTGCAACACCGCTGCAGCTGGCATGGAGAACATTGCTGCTCGGGTCAATGCGTAAGTTTAAATGTCGTCCTTTGCAATCAATAATATTGCAGAGGAAAACTGCTTGAAAGGTAGCCTATTAATTTATTTCATTTAGGTGCAATCCCGTGGGGGAGAAGCGCATTTGGCAGAAGCTTAACATGAATGAAATATAAAAACATTGTTCAAGTCTGAGGTTGCAGTACAGTGTCATTAACAGAATATAATTTAAATTAAATTTAACACAGTGTTCCCCAACCACCGGGCCGCGGACCGGTACCGGGCCGCACAGATAGAATAAAAACGTTTTATTGTTTTTTTTTTTTATTTCCAGCGAAGTCTGCAGGGTGTTTTATTTTGAAACATGACTAGCTCGTCTTCCCGTCACTTCCGTTTGTGTTCGTTTCCCGGACTTGACTGTCAATTTTTATGCCCAGCTGCTAAACGAAGCCGTCAGTCAAAAACAAACGTCTCAGGAGAGCTGCTTTGGAAAGTGGGAGAGACTTAATACTGAGACAGGAGAAAAAGTAAACATATTAAGCAATAAAAATTAATTTTATTCATTTCTGAAACTTTTCAATAGAAAAAAAAAAAACTGTTATTGTTTGTTATGTGCGTAATGACCGGTCCGTAGAAAAATTTCTTACTTAAAACCGGTCCGTGGTGCAAAAAAGGTTGAGTGCTGATTTAACAGATCTCTACATCATTTACCTGCAGTCCTGTGGAACTCCCCCTTGATGGCTCTGACAGGTTAATGTCCAGGAAAAACGACAAAGATGGGTAGAAGCCGTTTCAGGGCGAGGCACACTTCTCAGACCGCCCTGCATACAGTTGCCTTACTCAAGTGCTCTGCGTCTCCGACATTATACAAAAAACTTCCATTTGCAATGAAATGCAGCACAACACACAATATCTACTTGGATGTGAGAGCATGACTACGGTTGGTAATGGTACACGTTAGTGTTGTAGTACTCGAGATCGGTCTCGGTCTCGAGACCACTTTTTGAAGATCTCGGTCTTGTCTTGGACTTGACCGCATATTTACTCGGTATTGTCTTGGTCTCGACCACAGAGGACTCGGGATTTTACTGCGAGACCAGCCGAGACCACGGCTGCAAGGACCGCACTAAGCTGCCTCTGAACTGTTTCATTTGTTTAGTAATAGCTTTGTTGTTATTGGATGCAAAACTCCCCGCTTCGAATGTAACCAATAGTTTAACAGATTTTTTATTTGGATTTTTTTTACGGGCTGTGGCCTGTCACCCCACCCCGCCCCTCTTCACAGGCCCTCCACGACAGTAAATGCGGGAGAAGGAGTCTGCTCCCTGGGAAAGATGTTAGCAAACTCTGCTGTAATAAAGTTTGGCTTTTCTAGTTATAAACAACTTATCTGTAGATTGACGTCAAAAGGAAAACACAGCGCACCTGGTAGCATCTACCAGAGCAGCATGTGAGGCGTTCAGGGAACATCGGTAAAATGCACCATCTACCGGAGCAGCATGTGAGGCGTTCAGGGAACATCGGTAAAATGCACCATCTACCGGAGCAGCATGTGAGGCGTTTGGGAACATTGGTAAAATGTAGCATCTACCTATGGGCACTTTCAGCAATTGTTTAGCCTGTGTCCAGTTAATGACTGGTATTAGAAGAGGATTGATGACAAAATAAATATATTTTAAGATGAAAACATTTTACAAATGTCTAGTCGTATCTCTGAAGATCATTGCATCATAACTAAGTGATGCAATGGCAACTATTCATCAGCTGCATGGTGCATTAATAACTGTGGCAATGCTGATCCAAAATAAGGGAGTGGGGCGACCAGATCATTAGCTGGTGCGACCAGTGAAGAAAGTTGGTAGCACCATGCTACCACTAGAAAAGTTAGTCTGGAGCTCTGTAACAGAATCGCAAGACACAATTCAACAGCTGAGGATCTCCTGCTGCCCACAGCTCTAGATATGGTGTCAACAATGACTGATGAGACTACCATCACAAAACTGAAGCCCCCCCCCCAACTCCCATTACTGTCACTGATCACTGAGCAAGTTGTTGCTGCACTATTTGACTGCTCATGATATTTAATTTCAGTAAATTTAAACTGACTCATTTCATGACAATTTAAGGTGAGGGGGGGGCACAAAAGATTTTTGTCCTTCGAAGGGGAGCCTGACAGAAAAAGAAAGTTGTGAGAACCACTGGTTTAGATGATTAAACATAGTTATAGGTATGCTTACAATGGAGTGTTTACTACCATGACAAACATCCTTTTACAAAATCTATTACAGTACAACAAAACTGAAAAAAATACTTACAGTGCCAATTCTTAGAATTAAAACACACTGCAGAATAAATGTGTAACTTCAATATAAATTAAACTAAATAAATGTACAACACAATTTTGAGTGCTGTGAGTTCCCTCTTCTATGGCTTGTTCAATCACAATCTTTCCCACACTGGGTGTACTTAAAAGAAAAAAAATGCACACCTATCCTCTTTCTGAAAATGATTGTAATACCAGTGTTGAAGTAAGAAAATTAACTGGTGTGGTCATTTAATATTTAAAATAAAATTGTAGTATTGACTGTTTGATACATTCCGTATTAAATGTTTGTTTGCAGTTGCAGACAAGAGTATTACAGGCAACCTTACACTTGCCTTAAAATTACATTGACTAAGTGTTCAATAAAATGGTTAAGTTAAATTTGGTATGGTCTCGGTCTTGACTCGGTCTCGCTTTGTCTTGGTCTCGGTCTTGACTTGGTCTCGCTTTGTCTTGGTCTCGGTCTTGACTTGGTCTCAACCCCTCAAAGTCTTGGTCTTGTCTCGGTCTCGATACACTGTGGTCTCGGCCATGTCTTGGTCTCGGTTTAGGTGGTCTTGACTACAACACTAATACACGTGTAAGGATGGATTAGGTACTACTCAAAAAGAGAACTGTCTGGAAATGCTAGAACATCTTTGCGTGGTCTGATAACCATCTCCCGACCAATATTTAATTGTCTGCGCAGTAATGCTGCACCTTCATCCACGGGACCGTTATCAAAAGAACATGCCATGTTAGTGAAAAAAATCACCACCTACTGTGCCTAATGGACTAATACAGCCTACTGACTGATTTTTTTTATTTATTATTTTTTTGTATTTTTGACAGACGGCAGAACTAGGCTACACCAAAACTCACCTGCTGACTGAATGAATAAATGAGGAAATCAAATAATGTGTGTGGCTGAAAGAGGGCAGAGACAGAGAGAAACTCGAGGGCCGAGAAAAACCTGGTCCCGACCAGATTAGGTTCATAGAGTCTGTTACTACAGTAACTTACCGAGGCTTTAAGTTACCTCTCTCTGTGAAACAGGCTAGAGTTACCCCTCTTCCTCTGGTTTGAGTTAACTCTCTTTGTGAATTGGAAAACTCAGAGTTTCCCTCATTTCAGGGTTAACAGACTCAGGATTTTCACTTAAACCTGCTTTGTGAAACAGACCCCACATTGATACAAGTACCACCAGATAATCAAAAACAGAACTTGTGTCTGGACTGGGCGCAAATAACGAGTTTGACATATAAGTAGTTTCATAGAAGCCAATAGGCAAAATGTAAGTATTGATAGCAGGATGTGCTTCTTCAGGCCATGCACTTGGTGTACCGGGCTTTGGAGAAGGAGCCTGTCCCTGCACTCCTCCCCTCTGCCCTCATCCCTCCATCGAAGAGGAAGAAGAGTCTTGGCTCAGTGACCAGCTCTGTGCCTGGACTACCTGCAAGCCCTCCGCCACCAAAAGACTCACTGCGCTCCACACCCTCCCATGGCAGCATGAACTCACTCAACAGCACCGGCAGTCTGTCTCCCAAACATACACTGAAGTCTGGACAGGTAAAATACACTAAATGTGCTACCAAATCTTTTATCTTTTTGAACTATATACAGTTTGAATCTTTGAATAAAGCTCTTTGAGTTCAATTCATTTTTTTTTTTTAAATAGCACAGTTCACAGCATATGTCATCGCACAGCACTTAACATAGTAAGGTGAAGACCTGACGAATTTAAACAGAGAACCCAACAATCCGAAGTTGCCTTCGGACTCCCTCTGAGTCAGCGGTTGGCAACGGTAGGAAGGAATAAAAAAAAAAAAAAAACACGAAAAAAAAACCTCAGACAGAACCAGTCTCAGGGCAGGAGGCCTTGACTGGTTGGGGTGAGAGTGGGGTTAGCAGATGGAGAGCAGCAATTGAACAGAACAATGAGTCTGTGAAGATTCTCTGTCATCCAGGTCATGGTTGTCCTTGTAGTTTAATCGTAGCAACTGGACTTGCTTGACTTTCTTGAAGACATTTCACCTCTCATCCGGATACTTATATTCTTAAGAATATAAATCAGTCAGAACTGATGAAGCCTCTTGGATGAGAGGTGAAATGTCTTCAAGAATCTCAAACAAGTCCAGATGCTATGATTAAACTACAAGAATGAAAGAACAGTGAACATTTTGGAGGTCAGTGAGGCCAGAAACTCTATATCAGAGATGTGAAGCTCCGGATCCAGAGACATCCACAGAGAGAACAAACACAGGACCTCATAGGGAAACACAGAGTTAGTGACACGTAATGGTGGTTATAACTGTATGGAAGGAAGAGAGAGGAGAGAAGCCCTGCACATCATGGTAATCCCCCGGCAGTCTAAAGCTATAGCAGCATAACTAAGGGACAGTTCAGGTGATCCTGAGCAGCTCTAACTATAGGCTTTGCCAAAGAGGAATGTTTTAATCTTAATCTTAAAGTACAGAGGGGGTTCTGCCTCCAGAACCCAAACTGGGAGCTGATTCCACAACAGAGGAGCTGATAACTGAAGGCTCTGCTTCCCATTCTACTTCTGGAAACTCGAGGAACCGCAAGTAGACCTGCAGTCTGAGAGTGAAGGACTCTGTTAGGGTGATGCGGTACAATAAAGTTTTCAAGATAAGATGGAGCTGGTCATTGAGAGTTTTATATGTTTGAAGCAGGATTTTAAGTTCTATCCTGAATTTTACAGGGAGCCAATGAAGAGAAGCTAATACGGGAGAAACATGATCTCTGTTACGGTTGCAGTCAGAACCCTGGCTGCAGCATTTTGGATCAGCAGGAGGTTTTTAAGAGAGTTATTGGGACATCTTGATAATAAGACAGTGGTCCCCAACCACTGGCCCGTGGACTAGTACCAGGCTGCACAGAAAGAATAAAAACGTTTTATTGGTTTATTTTATTTCTGGTGGAGTCTGCAGGGTATTTTATTTTGAAAAATGACGAGTTTGTCTTCCGTCACATCCGTCTGTGCTTGTTTCCCGCAATTGACTCTGTCAATTTTCATGCCAGGCCGGAAAATGGAGCTGTCAGTCTAACCGCTGCCGAAATGAATAAAAAAACCCAAATTTCTCTGGCGAGTGTCTTTGAAAAGAGGGAAAGGCTTGATGCTGAGACACATGAAAAAGTAAATACATATTTAGCAATAAAAAGCAATTGTCTTCAGTTGGCACTTTTGCAATAGAAAAAAATTATTGTTATGTGCGCAATGACCGGTCCGTAGAAAATTGTCTTGCTAGAAACCGGTCCATGGTGCAAAAAACAAAGGTTGGGCACCGCTGTGTCCAGCCTTGAAGTTCTGAATGCATGGACCAGTTTCTCAGCATCACTCTGAGACAGGATGTTCCTGATTTTTACAATATCACGTAGATGAAAGAAGGCTGTCCTACAAACTTGATTTATATGTCTATTGAATGACATGTCCTGGTCAAAAATAACTCCAAGGTTCTTTACAGTAGAACTGGAGGTCAAGGCAATGCCATCTACAGTAGCCATCTGGTTAGATAATGTGCTTCTGAGGTGTTTAGGGTAAAATACAATAACCTTGTTTTTTCTGGATTTAAATGAAGAAAGTTACAGGTCATCCAGATCTTTATGTCCTTCAGACATGCCAGGAGTTTGACTAACCGATTGGTTTCATTTGGCTTCTTGGATAAATACAGCTGGGTGTCATCTACATAACAGTGGACATTTGTGCAGTGCTACTGTCATGGGAAATATTAAGACCCAGGCACAAACAGGAATGACATGGCACACAAAAAGCAAATAATTTATCATCACACAGAAAATGCCAGGGACAAAATTACAGAGGGATATGGGAATGAACTTAAGAAAACTACAAAAGGGCTACGGGGTGAAACACAGGAATAGGGACTACACAGAAGTAGTTGAACAAACTTGACCCTACTACTACAGGGCTAGGAACGTTAGTGGAGCAAGCAGACCAAAATGAACTAAGCGCACACAGTGTGACACACAGGGATGCGAAATTACAAACTAGAGCGCTCACAGCCTGAAACATGGAAATAAGCTAAGAACTGAAGCGCTTACAGTGCACAAACACAAGAATACAGAATTGAAGACTAAGGCACAAGTAGTGTAGCAGAACAAAACTGAAACCTCAGTACAAAACACTATGAATACTAATGCATGTTGTCGAAACACTACTTAGCTGCCCAAGGTGAGAGCGGTAGAGAGGAATGGGAGCAGAGGGGGATGAAGGGCGTCGGCTCCAAGCGTGGGTCTCCAGGTTGCTGTGGTAAGGTGAATGGAGAGACTTACTCAGAATCCAGGTGGAGGTAGTTCAGGCAATGGGCACACGGCAGAGGCCCAGACAGGGAATGGCAGCGGAGAGCTAGGCACAAAAACAGCAGGTGAGATAGAAGCAGTGTAACATACAGAATCCAGAAACAGAGACTGGCCTGAGTGAGCCAACTGAGTTAGGTAGAACGGTCCAACGTCAAATGTAGATCTGAGCCCTTCTTTTCTGGCAAAGGAGAACAATGGGTAGATGAGCCACTCCTTGCTGCAGGTGTCCATGATATGCTGATTAGCTTGAGTAAAGCAAAAGCACACCAAGATGTACACCAGATTCAAACCACTGATTAGGGAGGAAAAACAGGAAGGAGAGCTGCCAGCTAAGCAGAGGAAGAGGACATGACAGCTTCCTAATAATATTGCCTAAGGGGAGCATGTACAAAGTAAATAATATTGGTTCTTATACAGAACCCTGTGGAACTCCATAACTAACTCTGGTGTGAGTGGAAGAAACATCATTGACAAACTGGAATCTGTTTGATAAATATCATTTAAACCAATTTAGTGCAGTTCCTTTAAGTTCAATGACACATTGCCGTCTCTGTAATAATATGCTGCAGCGCTCCAGATGAACCTTTTCACTGGTAGCACCGGTGCGACCAACTTTCTCATTTGTTCTCACCTTCCACCTGGTCACAGGCAAAACATATGACTTGCTAAACATTTTCTTATCGATAGACCTTACAATTTACCGATGCTCCCTAAACGCCTCACATTGCAGGCTGTGGTCGCTGCTGTTGGTACCTGTGGTGTGCTCAGACAGGTCTGTGATCAAAAATTACTTTGAAAAGCGTCAACAAGGGTGTTCTAATGTCAGATTTGTCCAAGATGAAACTGAGGGATTTTTTTCTACATGCAGTCTTTTCTGTGAGTAGAATGAACAGCACACTTAGGTGCGTTGCGCTTTTCATGAGAAGACTGCATTTTTAAGCGTAAGTACCACAGTACACCGAAGTTATAAAAGTACTACTTTTCACTACTGCAGTTAACACAGTAGCTGCGTGTGCCAGTTACACCGAGACTAATACAGCTTCATGATAATCATGCACTTGCACCAATGCGACAACTTCAAATTTTAAATTGCATGCTCTCCAAAAAAAAAAAAGGTCACAAATGTGACCATTTTGGTTGCAGTGTGGAGCCCTGTGATATGATCCACTCTTATCAAATGCAGCACTGAGATCCATCAGAACAAGTACAGACACTAGTCCACTGTCTGAGGCTATTAGAAGGTCATTGGTGAACTTTGCCAGTGCTGTCTTGGTACTATGATTCTTTCTAAATCCTGATTGAAACTCTTCAGACAAACCATTTCTATGCAGATAACCACATAATTGGCTGCAACAACGTTTTCAAGAATTTTAGAAATAAAAGGAAGGGTGGATATGGGTCTATAGTTAGCTAAAACGCCTGGATCTAGAGTAGGATTTTTGAGTAGTGATTTTATTATAGCTACTTTAAAAGCCTGCAGTACATAACCTGTTAGTAAAGATAAATTGATGATATTTAATACTGCAGCATTAATTAAAGGGAAGATTCCCTTGAACAGTCTAGTGGGGTCTAACAGACATGTTGCTGGTTTAGAAGAATTTACTATCGAAATGAGCTCTGAGAGATTTACAGCAGAAAAGCAGTCCAAGTATACACTAATATACATATATGTTCGACACCTTAATCAATAATCAATAACTCTAAATTATACTTTCGGTAAAACACTCTTGAATTTTCATTTTACTGACATTAATACACTTTTTAAAAAATTAATTGCATTATTTTTTAATTGTGTTGTCATCAATTTTGATTACATCAAGGCTGATCTATTTCTGATCCTTTTATTTGTTTCCTGTTTTTTTTTTTTTTACCTCCGCTGTGCTCCATTAAAAAGAATTGCAGATTGGTTTTACTATTGAATACATATACATTGCGCAGATGTAGGAAACAGTAAGCAGATTCCCAAATAAAATTATTTATTTGATTAGTGCGAGTACCTACCAACCGATAATCTGTGTTTTGAACTTGTGTCTGGGCTGGTGTCAAATAATCGGTTTCGGACTTAATTAGTTTTATGTAAACTAGGAATGTCTTGATCGAGTAAAATCTGCATTTTTCTTTGTCTCAGCATTTGGTGAACTGGGTGGTCCCAGTATCAGAGCGCGGTCGCTATGATGACATCTTCCTGAAGACAGATGCTGATCTGGATGGGTTTGTCAGTGGACAGGAAGTAAAGGACATTTTCATGCAGTCTGGACTTTCTCAGAATGTCCTTGCACATATATGGTAGGCTTTAATGCTTGTTAATATTAGCTGTTATATATGTGCATATGTACACACACACACACACACTGTATAAAAAGACACACAACCTTTTTTTTCCTCACTGTCTGACATTAAATGCAATGAAACTTTTCCTGTTTTAGGTCAGTTAGGATTACCGAAATTATTTATATTTGCTAAATGACAGAATAGTGAGAGAGAGAATTTTTTAGAGAATTTTTTACTATCTTTAAAGTCAGAAGTTCACATACACTCAGATTACTATGCCTTCAAACTATTTGGGAAAGCCCAGATGACGATGTCATGGCTTTGGAAGCTTTTGTTGGTTAACTGACAACATCTGAGTTGATTGGAGGCACACCTGTGGATGTATTTTAAAGCACACCTCAAACATACTGCTTCCTTTTGTGACAACATGTAAAATCTAAAGAAATCAGCCAAGATCTCAGGAGGAAAATTGTGGAACTCCACAAGTCTGGTTCATCCTTGGGTACAATTTCAAACAAGTTCCAAGTTCAAACTATTATACTGAAGTATAAACACCATGGGAATGTCCAGCCATCATAGCGCTTAGGAGGGAGACGAGTTCTGTGTCCCAGAGATGAAGTGTTTTGGTGAGAAATGTATGTATCAACCCCAGAACAAAAGCTAAAGACCTTTTGAAGATGCTGCCGAAGCTGGTAAGAGAGTGTTCTTATCCACAGTGAAACCAGTCCTGTAACCATATGGGCTGAAAGGCTACTCAGAGAGGAAGAAGACATTACTCATAAAAAGACGGATTACAGTTTGTAAATGCACAATCTAAAAAATTCTTTCTCTCATTATTCTGGCATTTAGCAAATATAAATAATTTTGGTAATCCTATCTGACCTAAAACAGGAAAGGTTTAGTCTGTTTTAATGTCAGACAGTGGAAAAAAAAGTTATGGGCCTTTTTTACATTGAATGTAAACTTCTGGTTTCAGCTGTAAATGTATATATACAGTGCTTAACAAATATATTAGTCCACCCAGTGTCAGGTTTATGCTACAGCTGCCCTAAATGAATGAATTTTCAAATTCACTGTTTACAAAAAAACAGAAAAAATAGTAGAACACATTACTATTTTTTGATGAAGATGTCAAATTATAGCTATTTACTTGCATTCCTTAGCAGAAAAATGAGTTTTAGTGGTTGAATGTTATGCTTGATTAATTCCTGACTTCTCAGAGAAGCCCAGTGGCTCAGATTTCGGTATAAAGAGATGAATTCAGTTGAAAATTCCTCATTCCTGTTCAAAAAGGTAAAACGTTCAGAGTTGAGTGGCATTTAAGCACTCCATGATGCTGACTGGTATGATTTAGATGGTGTATGTGTGTGTGCTTAACAAATGAGACAGATAATACATTTATTAAGCACTGTATATGAGTTTTATCTTTCAGTCGAGTCATTAATGGATTCTTGGTTGCACTGAGGAGTGCAGAAGTTGTACTTCTTTACAGTATTTGGTGCAAACGGTGTACTGGTGATTTAAGGTGAAACTCACTCTGACCTTACAAAACATGTTTATGGCCCTAACTTAAGGGTTTGTATGCAAATTATGGTGTATACTCATGTTTAACAGAATACAACGATGAAGAGATTACAGTGTATATCCCAAAAACTGCTTAAAGTGATTTTGAACATGCAGCTTTGAACTATTTCATTTGGTTGCTTTCATACTTGATTATTAAATCAAGCCACTATTAATTCTTTGACTTTCTTTGCAATGCATTTCTGCCACAGATGCCTGTATGTAATGTGTTTTGTTGTGGAAATGTTGCATGATTTTTTGTAGAGACTTCATGACTATGTGTCTTGTCTGATTTCCTCTTGTTTTGCCATAACGTTTGGTTAGTAATGTTCTGCTCAGCAGTGTGGTCAGTCTTCTCAGGAAAACTGAATTAACTGAATGTGTGTTTATTGACTCTCTGCTCTTCGTTGCAGGGCTTTGGCAGACACAAGGCAGATAGGCAAGCTGACCAGGGAGCAGTTTGCCCTCGCCATGCATCTCATCCAGCAGAAAGTCAGCAAGGGCATTGACCCTCCACAAGCCCTGAGTGCTGACATGATTCCACCCTCTGAAAGAGGAACTCCTGTACCAGTAGGTCCCACACACACAAACTTGGAATGTTTTTTTAGTGCTGAGAGAGATATTGTTATATCTGCATATCTTATCCCAGCTCTTCCTGTCCACATTTGAAATGCTGGGCAAGAATCTGATCCCCAAATTGCTTCTGATGGTCAGGCAAACATTTTGCATGGCTTTGTGTGATTAGGAATCAGAGAAAAATAGTAAACACAATACAACTGTTCACCTTTTCTATCGTATTTGCATGCAGATTGCTGCCCATTTGGCCATTGTGTCAACAGTACTATAAGATAAGATGTGCCTTTATTTATCTCACAGTGGAGAAATTCACATTGTTGTCAACAGCTTTACACATAGAGATACACACACCCTCGACAGAAAAGATGTACATATAAATATAAGAAATAGTGCAAAAAGTATAAAAGTACACATAAAAGGAGAATAGTGCAAACGGAATATGAGAACGGGCTTCTGGATGTCTTCTTGTGTAAGTATCCACCATTGCTGAGATCTTTGTGAAGATTTGTCAAAAAAAATATTGACTAGAACACCTTAAACACCTCCAATTTTGAGCCTTAGACTTAAACTTGCTGTTCTAATATGATTTAGATCTCACCTTCACTAGGCATATCAATGCAACACAGCCTTTTATAATTTTCAAAATATAGCCTTTGGCTTTGTGTCCCAGATAGACCAAGGGAAGCTTAGTCATGCTTTTATATCCAGTGGGGTGGACTACTGTAATGGCCTCATAACTCCACAACTGCAAAAAGGTAATTAAACAGCAGAAGTTTGTTCAAAATTGTGTTGCGAGTTATATCCAGAGAGACCAAGAGAACAAATCACATCACTGTGTGTCCCAGTGAATTACAGACAAGACTTTAAAATGCTAATCACAAAAACCAGGCTGAAAGTTTATTTATTAATTTTGATATGCCAATAATTAAGCTTTAAAAATTCCATCTTCAATATGTACTGTGAACATTATTTATTAGCTATTCTTTTATTAATATTTTACAAATAATGTATGTGTATTCTCGCACACTGAACGAAGCAAACGCTGCTGGATCTCTTTGTAGACATGCCACTTGATCGTGTGAAGGGGAAAACTCCTAGTTTGTAGTTTGGTTTTGAAATATATCTTTTGTGAACTTTTCTGACACACCTCATATAATCAGCCAACCTCTGCTTAACATTACTTCTGCACTGGCTTCAGTTTTGAACTGTGCCTGTTGAGACTTTGGTGGGACATATGGAAATCTGAGTTCCTATTGTTTAAAATGTTATAGTCAGTGTCTTGTTTGACATTGCATGAAGACAGCTCTTGCTGTTGTTATTTCTTTGTGGTTGCAGAGTATGTCAGGATACATGACTCCAGTGGGATCAGAGATGGCTGCTCTGTCTGAAATGAGACGAGTGAGTAAAATGTTCTCCTTCTTTTCACATCAGCTCTAAGCTGTTTTGTGCCTTTTGTTAAGTTGGGCATAAAAGTGTGTTTACCAGTCTGCCAAAAAAGTCCCTTCCCAAAAAACAATAAATGAATACCATATTTTCCTGACTATAAGCTGCTACTTTTTTCCCACGCTTTGAACTATGTGGCTTATAATGTGGTGCGGCTTTTCTGTGGATTTTTCTTCACCCGCTAGGGGGCGCTTTTGTATAAAGTGAAAAAAAAGAGACAGGTGAAAGTCAAATTTTAACATAAAAGAAGAAAGTTCTAATTTTTTTTTAGCACATGCAAGCAGCGGGCACAACAGAGATTTTTTTTCAAACCCATACCCCTTCATCATGGAAACCACACGAAGAAGTTCTTATGATGCCGCTTTTGAGTTGAAGGCCATCGATCTGGCAGTAAAGGAAGGAAATAGAGCTGCTGCACGTAAGCTTGGCATGAATGTATCCATGGTTCGGCGCTGGAGACAGCAGCGGGAAGAACTCATGCATGGCAAAAGACTAGAAAGGCTTTCAGAGGACATAAAAGCAGGTGGCCTGAACTTGAAAATGTTCTTGAGGACTGGGTTAACACTGAGAGAGCAGGTGGCCGAGGTGTGTCCACCGTGCAAATCCAGCTGAAAGCCAAATCAGTAGCCCGCGAAATTAATATTGACGATTTTAACGGAGGAGTTAAAATGTCTGGTGTTTCAGATTCATGAGAAGAAAGAGCTTGTCCATCAGGGCACGGACAACTCTCTGTCAGCAACTCCCCTCGGACTACCAGGAAAAACTTGCAAATTTCCGACAATTTGTTGAAACAAAGATTGCGGAGAACGCCATAGGACCAGACAACATTATAAATATGGATGAAGTGCCACTGACATTTGATCTGCCTCTGACCAGGACTGTAAACAAGACAGGTGCATCATCCATTATGGTGAAAACCACCGGGCACGAGAGGACACATTTCACGTGAATCCTGGGCTGCACCGCATCTGGAAAGAAGCTTCCCCCGATGGTCATTTTTAAGTGCAAAACTATGTGCCGAAAGACCAACTCCCGAAAGACATTGTGGTTGAAGTCAGCCAGAAAGGATGGATGCTAGAAAGTCTAATGAAGGACTGGTTAACGGAGTGCTACGGAAAGCGCCCAGGAGGATTTTTTCACCGTAAAAAGGCGCTGCGTGTTTTGGACAGTATGAGGGCCCATGTTACTGATTCAGTGAAAGCAGTCATCAAGAGAACCAACTAAATTCCTGCTGTGATTCCTGGAGGTACTACAAAGTTTTTGCAACCTCTGGACATCAGTGTGAATTGAGCATTTAAAGCAGCACTCCGCTGTGAATGGGAGACTTGGATGACGAGTGGCGATAAATCCTTCACAAACACTGGCCGCATGCGAAGAGCATCATTTTCTGATGTCTGTCAGTGGATCCTAACTGCGTGGAGCAGTGTGAGTGAATCTACCATCACCAGTGGGTTCCGAAAGGCTGGACTGTTGCGTGAAGAGGGCACTTCAGCTTCAGAGTCAGCTTCACCCCGGGATAATGACAGCGACACGGAGAGCGACACGGAGAGCAACACTGACATCGCCACAGAAAAGGTATGTGACAAAGCTCTTCTGAGGCTGTTCAACTCCGACACTGAAGAAGAGGACTTCGATGGTTTCAGTGCGCAGGAGGACAATGAATAAAGCAATCAATAACTTTTCTGTTTTGTTTGATAAGCACTTTTATGCTTCGGGCACCGTTCGGAAACTGATCAGTTCAGTTATGTTCAGTTAAACTAAATATTCAGTTCAGTAGATAACCGCGGCTTTTAGGCCGGCGCGGCTTATATAAGTACATTTCCAATTTTTTAAAAAAACTTTGTGGGTGCGGCTTATATTGAGGTGCGCTCTATAGTCAGGAAAATACGGTAGTTTAAAAAAAAATCCCATCCACCAACTCTCATAATCATAATTCAAAGACATTTACTGCTCACTGATGTTCTTCTCGTATCTTAACTCTTTTGCTACTGATGTTTCTAACTTTCCCCTCTTCCTCCTCTCTCAGGCTATATTGTTCAAGTTGTGGGTAGGTAACTTAGACATACAGTGTACCTTTAAATGCTTTCAGTGGCTGGCTCATTACTAGAAAGCATGCAAGGTTTTTCTCTTCATTTCAATGAAGTGCAGTGACAGTGTCTCACTCTGTCAACTGCCTGATGATCCAGGGAAGATTCAAAATCACTGAATGAAAAATCTGTTCATTGATAACCAGGATTCCTCGGAAATGCGCATTTTTTATACATCAGCTGCTATTAATATAGAAGTTGTTTGTTGCCCTGCTATAAATAAGTTAATCGACTTTTAAAGTTTTTTTTTGTTTTTTTCCTTTTTGTTTGTTTGTTTGTTGTTGTTGTTTTTAAATCATAAAATGCGATCATTCATTGTCTGTGTAAGCAACTGTGCAATGCATTCAGGTATGCATTACGTTCTGGTTGTGGCAGCCTACCGGTGAAGCGTTCTTTGAATCAGATATCCCTAGTGTTTGCGTGGTTGCAGGAGGGTGGAGCAGCTGTCAGTTGTCTAGCGTGGTCGTGCTTAGTCATACACCCATCAAGCGTCCAGTTTTAGGTAGCGGTGTGACCTTCACGTTCTAAAAGCCATATGCTCACATACCAGTCAGACTACTGTCATCAGCAAATGCTAGTGGACAAAATGCCGGAAGTTTGTTGAGAACAACCTTTGAATTTTTCCAAGCTCAAAAACAAATATATCTTGAATCTTTCCTATCTTTGGCAGTTTGTCAGTGGTTGTGACACTCCCCCATTTGTTGGTAAATTACCCAGGCCCTACCTATTGATTAAACCTTTGTGCTGCTCCTTTTGGTCACTGGACTCTCTCCTATTCCCTCTTTACCTCTTTCTCCTGGCCTGATCTGCCATGGCTCATTTGGTGCCATTTCATCATCGTACATTCTTTAACAAATAAGATTTACTTTGCCAACCTATCTTCCTTCCCTTCTTGTCCTTTTCTTTTTCTACCTGCTGTCCTTTTCTACAGGACAGCTCTAGTTCAGTGGGTTCAGGAGAGTTTACTGGCATCAAGGAGTTGGATGACATCAGCCAGGAGATAGCCCAGTTGCAGAGGTAAAAAACAACATTACTGGCAGCACTTGAGTACCATGACAGTTCATATCTATGAAATGCCAGAAAGATGACAACACAAATTTCAGTTTGAAGCATAAACTTAAACTGTGACATAAGTATTTCTCACTGTCATTTTCATTTTGTAGTATGCCATTTAGTCAAAACATAATGTAGTAGCAGCACTAGTGTAGCCATTCGTGAATTGTTCTAACAGCAGTCATTTACAAGATCCAGCTCAGAGTTTAAGTTTAGTTTCGTTGTTGGTCACTATTCAGTACTTTGTGACATCCTGTCTGAAATCTTGTAGTTTTGCTCAACCTGTCACTCTTACATTGACTCATCACTAATCCATGTCGTCATCCACATCCAGGCTTTGCTCACTCCCTGTACTCACAATAACACACAGACCACATCACGGCTTGGTCAATATGAGCCTGTTTTAATGATATTATCATTTAATATTAAAATAAGATCAACCTCAATGGACACATGTTACATATTATGTTTCTCAAAATGCACTACTCACAAAAAACTTGTTGTCACCACAGTAAAAACGTTTATCTTTACTACAGGATTTTAACATGACAAAATGAAATAGCACAAGCATAGTTCATTGATTACAGAAGAACAGTATCACAGCACTATGTTTATAAAAACTGAAAAGGTAATGTGCATTTTCAGTACCTGCATATCATGCTAGCGTAAGCTCAGTCGAAGATCAGGCCTCCATGGTCTTTTGGTGTTCCCCTTATACACATACAAAGTCTGCATGTCTTTATGAGATAAAGATTGTCTGTTAGGGTAAATAATTGGTGAGCGCAAAGTGTGGTTGTGGTTGAGGAGTCTTACGTTTTGGGCAAGAAAATCTCTGCTTGTATGTTACATCCTTAAAACCTTATAAACCCCAAAAACATATTTTCCAAAGCCCTAAATAATGAAATGAAATGAAAAATACTTTATTTATCCCAGAAAGGAAATTCAATAATAGTGAAAAATAAAATAAAAATAGTGATCACAAGTCACACTTTTGCAAAATAACTAAATTCTGAGGCTTTGAAAATTTGTTCTTGTATGATCTCACAGACTTCTTCACCTAACACCTACACTTGAGCTCCTTCTAGACATGCAATCCTTTATTTTAATGGGACCATCTCGGCCTCATGTATACAGAAGCCGAGAGTGGTCGTTTTCCGCTACTGTTCTTTCTTCGCCGTTTTCTCGAGATAACGAATTAATTTTCTCGTTATCTCGGGATAACAAGAATCGTTTTCTCGTGAAAACGAGATCCCAGGTGTGTGGGAAGTCCCACACACCTGGGATTCCATCCTCAGTCACCAGCGGGGGTCGGAGGACAGACGAGACCGGGCACGAGCGCTTCATTGTAAGTTGTCGTGCCCGGTCAGCTGTTCTCATGACACGTCATGTCGGAGTTTCCAGTCAGCTGTCTATAAGATACGTCACACCAGGAAGTCTGACAACTTCTGATGAAGACTGAAGTGACAGCCGAAACTGTCAACGGGATAATTATCCCGTTATCTCGAGAAAACGAACGCCGTTTAAAAAAATGTGCGGCCATGAGCACTCTCGGCTTCCGTACATGTATGAATGAGCACTCTGGTCACTTTTCTGTAAAAGCTGTGACAGTCATCTTACAAGGTTGGGCATAGAAAATTTCTATATTACTTTCAACACAGCACAAGTCTGAACACATTAATGGCTAGTCAAGTCAAGCTCCTAATGTCCCAATGGTGGTAGAACTTCACCTTTCACAACTGTTCCAGTTTTTCTTTCAGCCACTGGTGTTTCTTGATCGTTTTGGAGCATACTGTCAAGAGGGATTGCAACATCTGTCTCAACTGCCCTCTTCTGCTCTTTTTCTAACACCACTATGTCAGATTGGTTTGCCAGCAGCTGCTTGTCACTCTGGAACTTAAAGTCTCACAGGATCTTAGGTCTCTTGTTTTGAACCCCTTCTGGTCTTGTGTTCCATCAACATGTGGCCATTTGTAATCCATACTCAGCACCTGTACACTGTCACAGCCACTTAGTTGTGCCTATCAGTATACATTATCCTCGCTTGCATCTTACACTCTGCTACTATATGCTGGACTGTCTCAGGTGCATCTTTGCACAGCCTGCCTGTTGGGTCCTGTCTGCTGTGGTAGACCCCTGCCTCTATTGCTGTGGTACTTAGGGCCTGTTCTTGTGCTGGTATCAGAGTCTGTGCGCTGTCCTTCAGACTTCCCTTTTGTAGCCTTTGGTAGAATTTCTTGACGTCAGCCACTCTTCCTCTTCATAGAGCATGATATAGATTTATTGAAAAGGGAAATTTGATGGAGGAATTTTTATTGACTTGCCAGCAATGTATTTGATTACATGAATAGCTACCTTGCTTCGTCTGGGGGCCACTTTTGCAAAGTGACAGGACACCAAGGGCAAGTTAACGACATTCTAATTCTTATTCAAAACATACTATACCTGCATAGTTGTTGTTACCACCTGTAAAAAAATGCATACTTAAAAGAAAAAATACACTATCAGATGTGGATGCGCTTTTTGGTTTACTTCTTTCCTACTGCTTTTTCCATCCATCCATCCATCCATCCATCCATCCATCCATCCATCCATCCATCCATCCATCCATCCATCCATCCATCCATCCACTCTTTCTTTGATGTATTATTTTATCAAATTTTTGTTTGTTCACCACTTACTCTCCATGCTGCGTCAGCACTCTTGCCTTTACCCAGTGGAATATGCTCAGGTAAACACACCGGCTACTGAATATCCATGGACTGGCATTCTGTCAAATTTACTTTGACACACACAGAGTGAATACTGTGTCTGCTTGCTAGTTTTCATAAATATTGTCAGTGTCAGATAGATTAATGGGTTTCACATACTTTATTGTAGAAGCTTCTTATTTTCTATTTAATGCTGGAGCATGAGCTATAGGGTTTGTTATAGAGTCTACCTGACAACAGTAGTCAAAAACTGTACAGTTGAAACCAAAATTTACATACACTGTATTACATTCACTGTCTGACATTAAAACAGACTAAACTTTTTCTGTTTTAGGTCAGTTAGGATTACCAAAATTATATCTGTTTGCTAAATGCCAGAATAATGAGAGAGAGGATTTAAAAAAAAAAAAGAATTTATTACTGCTTTCTCCAAAGTCAAAAGTTTACGTACATTTCCTTAGTAATTTGGTAGCATTGCCTTTAAATGGTATGACTTGGGTCAAATGTTTTGGGTTTCCTTCCACAAGCTTCTCACAATAGTTTGATGAATTCTGGCCCATTCCTCCTGATAGAACTGGTGGAACTGAGTCAGGTTTGTTGGCTGCCTTGCTCCACACGCCTTTTCAGCTCTGTCCACAATTTTTTTTTACAGAATTGAGATCAGGGCTTTGTGATGGCCACTCCAAAACATTGACTTTGTTGTCCTGAAGTCTCTTTGTGACTAATGTGGTGGTATGCTTAGGGTCATTGTCCATTTGGAAGACCCATTTACAAGCTGTAACTTCCTGGCAGATGTCTTGAGATATTGCTTCAATATTTCCAAATAATGTTCTTTCCTCATGACGCCATCTATTTTGTGAAGCGCACCAGTTGTATGTTTCATTTGGAGTAATGTCTTCTTTCTCTCTGAGTAGCCTTTCAGCCCATGTGGTTACAGGAATGGTTTCACTGTGGATAATAACACTCTCTTACCAGCTTCAGCAGCATCTTCACAAGGTTTTCACTTTTGTTCTGGGGTTGATATGTGCATTTCTCACCAAAACACTTCATCTGTGGGAACCCGTCTCCTTCCTGAGCGGTATGATGGCTGGACATTCCCATGGTGTTTGTACTTGAGTATAATTGTTTGAATTATGTGGAGGTCCACAATTCTCTTCCTGATATCTTGGCTTTCTTTCGATTTTCCATGTTGTCATAAAAGGAAGCAGTATGTTTGAGGTGTGTCTTAAAATACATCCACATGTGTGCCTCCAATTAACTCAAATGTTCTCAGTTAACCAATCAAAAGCTTCCAAAGCCATGACATCATCATCTGGGCTTTCCCAAATAGTTTGAAGGCATAGTAATCTGAGTGTATGTGAACTTCTGACTTTAAAGAAAGTAACTAAAAATTCTCTCTTTTATTATTCTGGCATTTAGCAAATATAAATAATATTGGTAATCCTAACTGACCGAAAACAGGAAAAGTTTAGTCTGATTTAATGTCAGACAGTGAGAAAAAAATATTGTGTGTCTTTTTATATAGTGGATGTAAATTCCTGGTTTCAACTGTATCTAGTGGATAGTTTATTTTAACTGATTGTGTTTCTTTACTAGGTAGCTTAGCTGCTACACTTGAATTTGGCCTCCTGAGAATGGAGAGCTCGTTTTTTCATTTTGTTGAGTCTAACCAGCAAGTTATAGATTTCTCATTTAAATTACACAAGGGTTTGCTAGGGTCAAATTGAACTAAGTTTCGCACTGACAGTATGTATGTGAGAGACTGCACAGTTGTCTTCATACCCTCTATTTTGTTGTGACCATGTGGACTTCAATACAAGCGTACATGCTGAAAGACCGAACTAGACCATTTTGATTTCATTTGTGATATGCGTGTGCGGAAAACGAGGACAGCTATGTATCCATCCAGCCCTCAGCTGTCCACGTGTCTGGCCATTAGCAGTAGAACACAGGACTGACATCAACAAGATCATGTATTTTAAAGGGCACAAGACTGTGTCTACAGAAATATTGTGTGCATTCAGATATTGTGGAAATTAACTGACATGTAAGCACAACAGATCATGTAAGAGCAAGATCTGTGAACTCACAAAGATGAGGCAGTTTTTTTCAGACAATAAAAAAAAAGCAGATGATTTTTCTCACTGGCCTACACACAAATCTAAGAACAAAGACAAATAAAAACACATTTTTACTTTTTTTTTTTTTTTTTTTTAGAAATGTGTATCTGTTTTGACATGAAATACACATTGCGCTTTATATAGCACTTTGCCGTTACATTCTGAAGTAATATAATACATACAATAGCTAATTTTTTCCCATATCTGTTACATTGTGGATTTGATAGAATACCAGTCCAATATCTTGTTACTCTGACATGTTGATGTATGTACACAGCAGGGGTTGGGTACTTATTTAATTCCTTTTCTGTTATCACAATTATCCTTGTGTGTTTTTTGTGCACTTTTGTGTGTAAATGTTTCTGGATATGTGTCAGGGAGAAGTACACTCTTGAGCAAGACATCAGGGAGACAGAGGAGGCCATCAGACATAAGAGTGCTGAGGTACAGGTGAGGACAAATTGTTTATTGGTCAGTTAGTACCACTATTAACAAAAAGGTTTGCTTTAATATCAGTTAAGTCATTACAATTGATCTGCTTTCAAAATTTCTGAAACTGTAAAGTTTTTTTCTTGTCCAACACCTCTTTATACGAGGCCAGTGGGTGCAGGGTATATGTAGTGCACTAAACAACTTGGCTTTATTGAACATCGTAATATGGTATATGGTATGTGGTATTTGAGTGGCATTCATATGTTATTTTCTTTTATGGTTCACAAGGAAATGCAGAATGACCTGGACAGAGAGACAACCAGCCTGCAGGAGCTAGAGGCTCAGAAACAAGATGCTCAGGACCGCCTGGAGGAGATGGACCAACAGAAACATAAATTAGAAGACATGCTGAATGAAGTCCGGATGAAGTGCCAGGAGGAGTCTCAGATGGTGAGGAGGAGAGGATTGACTGGAGGATGCAGAGGAAGCTCAAAACAAGGCAGAGGATTACACCCGAGATGCATTGCTTTGGCTCTCTAATGTTTTTTGTTTGTGATTTTGGAATTCTGTTTTGTTTTACTGCTCAGCTACAAGAATTACTGAATAGGCAACTAAAATAATGCCAAAGAGAAGAAAGCAAAGTGTCTTTATCCATCAAGTGGCAGTGTAGTTACCAGTTAGTGCAATGTTGAGTGGATTTTAACGGCAATTGTTGCTTGGCAGGTCTTAACTTGTGACCCAACCTCAATGTTTTGTTCTCTTTTGCCTTCAGATCTCAACCCTCCAGAGTCAGATCCACTCCCAGGAGTCAGACTTGCAGTGCCAGGAAGAAGAGCTGAGCCGGGCAAAGGCTGATCTGGGCCGGTTGCAGCAGGAGGAGAATCAGCTGGAGCAGAGCTTGGCTGCTGGCAAGATCCAACTAGAAACCATCATCAAGTCTTTGAAGGCCACCCAGGATGAGATCAACCAGGTAGGACACAGGTTCTGTTTGTGTGTTTCTGAAACTGTCAACAGGAGGCGCCACTGCACTGTTGTAATCTGCTTCTTCATTACCACACAAGTCAGTATTTAGTGGACGTATACCACCAGAAGGACTGGAACGTGTGTGTGTGTGTGTGTGTGTGTGTGTGTGTGTGTTAGTCTAAGCTGCTGTGGTCTGTCATCTGTTTCCTCACAGCTACTATTTTCACACACACACACACACACACACACACACACACACACACACACACCACTTAACACCTACAACTTGCATACACAGCTTGGCTTTATTTACAGATGATATATAATTGTCTATGATGTAGTCTTGATCCTTTCCTGATAAAATCCATTGTGTTGAGCCCTAATAAAATATTTTCTTTTGTATTTTCTTAGTGTCAAATTGACTGCTGCAAAAAAATGTATTTTCTTTTTTTATGGAGAGCTGCTGCTATGGTTTAAATGGTGTCATGTAAAACTGTCTGCTAATGACAAATTATCATAGTGAGAAGTATCAAAACTTCTAATAGGCACTTCTAAAATGACTTGTACAGTCTAATACATACTTATTTTTATACTCAGCAATTTAAAAAAAAAACAAAACAACAAATTAAGGGAAATATATTGTGTTCATTATCTTTGCTAAAGTTCACAATTAGTTTTGCATTTATAAAATATCCTCTACATGGAGATTTGCTTTCTGACTGAAGCAATAATATCTGCTTGGGGGCATTTTAAAACATGCGTTTACACCCCAACATATTTGTTTGCTTGCCTTTACTGATACCTGCTATTAATGATAGCACAAAATGAGAAAAAATAATCAATCAGTGTCCTGCTCTATTCAGACACTAGGTCTTATGAATCTGAAAATTGTCTAGTTTGTGCGTGCTGGTGTTTTTTTTGTTTTTTTTTTTTAAATCTAGGCCTGGGAAGATGTGATATTGATGGGAACAAAGCAGTTTTTGTTTTTTCACAGAGTAAAGGTTTCATAAATCTAAAAGATTTAGAGGTGTCTGCTTGTAAATCAAACATAGATATAGTTTCAGATTGACCTGGTCTTGTTGTCTGGATGGGGATAGGAAGAGAAACCACTTTCGATAAATACACAAAAGTTTAAAATCTGAGTAGGATTAATCCTTTTGACGGTTTAGCCCACTATACTGGGTTGGCATTAAGACTCCCGTTCAACACTGCAGATCTTTGGCTGATGATAAGCGCTGATAATTAATTATCCCTGGTAATTATGAAATTTACCTTTACCTTTTCCTTTTCACACCTGTATGTATATGACAAGAGTAAACTTCCATTTAACTGTCAACTTGTCTACTTTTGGTTGATGCCAGATATGTAATGATGTGAAGTCTACTTATGAATTTATGAGTGATTAACCAAAACCATACTTCATCATGAATTTCAAGCCAAAGTTACTTAGTGTTGAAGGGGTTAAGGATTCAGACTTGAACTAAGATGTCTCACACCCTGTCTTCACAACAATACGTAACTCAAAAGTGTAAAATTAATTGCTATAATATATATATATTTTGCCATGTATATTTTTTATTTATTTATGAATTTAGGGAAATTTACATAGAATTTTAAAAAAAAACAAAAAAAAAACATTCCCAACTCCATCACATATCAACAGGAAGGGTATACTTAACAAGATAAACAACTAAACTAAATGCGCTTCTACACAAACATCTGCATGTATATGCACCCACACACAGAGAGAGAGAGAAGCAGGGAGGTCAGGTGGGGCAGATGCAGGGACTGGGGAGGGGACCCTGACAGAAAAGAAGCAAAACGTAATTTAGGTTAGCCCTACAGTCAACAGTCATTCTGTAATTGCAGAGCCACAGATTAACACATACAGCACTGTGCAAGTTTGAGGCACTCAAGAGTAAGTGAGAATTCTTGTGAAAAGTATTGTGGTGAATACTAAAGATGGATATCGCTAGGATTAGAATTTTACTACTATTTCTGATACTGCTTATTGATCCGGTACTTAAATGGTATTCTTATCGGTACATTTTTATTGATTTTATTTATTTTGTTTTAAAAGAGAAACACCTCAACACATTAGGAACAGAATAAGACGGCCTTATATTCTGCTACTGTCTATGAATAGCATCCTTACATAGCTGTCGACACTAATGTGTTGATGGGAGGATCAGAGCTCTGTGGACAGCATCACAGGTTTTACTGACGTCAAGTATTCTGCAATGTGTTTCATTACACTGTCCAGTGTTATATCAGAATTAATGTCAGCACATTGTGTTGACAAAACATCTTTCATGCTTCATTTTTGAGTATAAAATGAATGCAGTTCAAGTACTTCTTTAGCACCAACATTCAGTCAGAGAAACAGTGAATATAAAGTAAGACAGAGTTTGTCACTAAATCTCTGAAACTGAAATTGTGAGCAACAGTTCAGATGATGCTCTGAATTTCAGACTGAGACTAACCGTTTTTGTGTGTCCTACAGGCTCGCAGCAAGTTGTCCCAGATTCAGGATAGTCAGCAAGAAGTGTCTAAAAGCATTGAGCAGTACAACAGCACCTTGAATGGAACTCATGGAGGCAGCATGACCAACCTGGCTGACATGAGCGAGGGTTTCAGTGACAGAGAGAATGGAGGATTCCCAGCCATGGTGAGAGCAGCACAGGTCAGGATCTCAATTTCAACTCTGCTTTACCTCCCTGGACAAAAGCTCCTTACTGACAAATGTTTTTAGCAGGTTAAAATGCTTTAAATCCAGAAAACTCCGTTTTTCTCTAATGTTTATGCGTTTAGGGTGTTTTTAATCCTCTGTCCTCCTTTTCCTCTTTGTCCAGGCATGTTACGTATCTAGGCAAGACATTACCAGTAGTTTGCAATGCAACATGCAAGTCCTCTAGCTGTCATTTTTGTCATTTGAACCAGCCTTCTTTCTGTTTTCGGAAGACTTGAAGTCTTTATGAGTTCCTACACACTGATCAAATCCCACAATTTTCATAATAGCGTCATTTCTTTGGCTTAGTCCATCTCATACCAGGAAGACAATTATTATTTGTGTTTACACATTCGTACAACCACACACTTTACATTTCTTATATATTTTCTGTACTTTGTATTTCTGCCTTTATTTTGATAACAGATTCTAATCCTGGAGGATTGGTGCACAAATTTTTGGAGATGTTCTGCCATTCTTGAAATACGGGTTGGGCTGTGTTGCTCTGCCTTTCTCTTTAAAATACCTTAAAGGTGTTCTGTTGCATTCAAGCCAGGTCACGGTTTTCACTTCTTTCTTTAAAAATTCTTGTATGATTTCATCAGTGTGCTTTTAATCCTTTCAGTACATCTTACCATAACGAAGGTTATTATGTTCATTTGTTTTTTTTTTTTATAGCTGAGGTGTTGATTCCATTGCATGATCATATTAGAGGATTCACTTTGAGGTGCTGATGGCTGCACTCATTTTTTTGTGACGTCATTTAAATTTCTATTAAAAAAGAGAGTAACCATTTCTTTTGCAGCGTGCACGGTGTGTCCACGAGTTCATCAAAATATTACCCAAGCTACAGTTGATGTAGTGGGAAAGGAAATTATTTTTTTGTGTTAGACTGTGTGGATGGTCAATTGGAAAACTCAATTCTGTCTTTGGCTTTTTCCATTCCACAGGAAGATCCATTCAAAGTGAAGCCATCAGTGTTCAACAGCCAGCCCCAGGAGCTTCACACTGACCCCTTCCACTCTGAAGACCCCTTCAAAACAGATCCATTCAAAGGTTGTCTCCCCCCTTTACTTTCAGTGTCCCCCATTCCTACTCTTTTCCTCAGAATTCCTCAGAGCTCTTATCTGTCATCCATTTACTCCTTCCCTCCTTTCGTCATCCCTTCATGTTTCACACAAATCTCCTCTCCTCTCCTCTTCTTCCTCCTCCTCTGTCCTATCCTCTTTATCTTTGCTTCTTCTTTCAAGGCTTATATTTTTTCAGCCTGAGCTGCTCTCTGACTGTCTTTTATGTCTTCCTCCTTCTATTTCCTTTCCTCCTACTTTTCGCTCATTTTCCTGCTTAATTTCTCTTGTAGGTGACCCTTTTCAAAATGACCCCTTTGCAAAGCAGCCATCAACATCCACAGGTATTTACTTGAGGTTTTTTTTTTTTTTGACAGAGTTAGTTTAGCACGACAACAAAATATATACATTTCAGATGAGTAATTGCTATCAGGCTGATAATTCACTGGGGCAAAGTAAAATTAGTACATAAAAATAAACATCATTTACTTTTTTAGGGTGTTTTATTAGTCTCAAAACCCATGCACAGCAAACCCAACCATGTGCTCGTATTACAAGCTTACAGAACTGTATCCACAAAGAAAAACCCCTTATCGCAAAGGAGCAAATCTACTCCGTGAGGACAAATGTGGTCCTGTGAGCACAGGGCTATAATGAGCAATCGCTCCAACTTGTTTTTGTGGCAAAGACACGTGTTTCAATGTGCAGTTAGGCAAGCCTGCTAGTTTTTTGCAGTGAAATATACAGTACTTACCTGCAAATTTTCCACCACAACAATTTCACTGTCTCGTCACTGTGAACGCCGAAGCCGCATCCTTCGCTTAGTCCCACCCAAGACAGTTGGGATTGGTTTAAAGAAATACAACCATGCCAGAGTGTTCTGGCTTCACCACCTTTAGCAGAATGATAGTGAGGTGCAGCCAGACCATCTATAGAATAGACTGGCAAAGCCAGACTGCATTTTGTTAGGTCAACTCTCTGTTTTTTGTTTTTTTTTTAAATATATAAGTGGTGGAAAACTTCACGTTATCCATCCATCCATCCATCCATCCATCCATCCATTATCTATACACCTTTATCCTCACTAGGGTCACGGGGGGCTGGAGTCTATCCCAGCCAACTTGGGGCGAAGGCAGGGGACACCTGGACAGGTAACCAGTCTATCACAGGGCCAGAAAACTTCATGTTGACATGTTATAATTTTTCACTTTACCTTTAAGGAGGTAATCTTTGTTTCTCTAGTCAGTTGTGGAGGCTAACTTACCACTGTGGATAGAAAATCACACACAAAAAAAGCCTTCAGTGTTCAACAACATCTGGTTAATATGCCAGGAGCTGCAGTTTTTAAACAACCCACACAAGATGCCAAATACCAAATCAAAGGAGTGGCGTTATCAGCCACTGTCCCTCCTTGATGAGTAAATGTTTGCGGAGGGTGGAGCAGGCACTCATCATAGTCCTGTGCTTGAGGGATTGCATTTGTGCACTAGGTGTG